TGGTCAGGTTTGACCAGCCCCATCTGATATGGAAGACTGGCCTGCAAAGATCAGGTCCAACAGTTCCCCTAAGGGATAAAGTCTCTTATGGAACCAACTCAAGCCTAGAGGGCTGGCAGTCCCTGGCTGTGCTCCACTACAGATGTTGCTATACCAAACCCTCTGAGCTCCACATCAGCTGGCCGGCTACTTCTACCACTTCTCTAAGCAGCTCTTCCTGCTACCTCAAGTGTCCATGGTGGCTGAGGGTTCTCTTCCTGCCAGGGTTCTAGAGGCTGGTGGTGAGAGTGGGTTACTCCTTGCCAGTTAACTCACCCATTCCCCCAGAGCTGTTGTGATTCAAAAATGAGCTCTGGTGTGTGCTAACCTATTCATGGTTCCCAGATCTTTCCCCCTTCAGCCCAGCTTCTGTGTCTTTCCTCCATCCACTCTCGATGCCTTCCCTCTAAAGATCTGTTTAAAACATACCAGTTATCTCATTCCTTCCATGGGAGCCATTCCACTTCTTTGAGTCTAGTCAGCCATCTTGCCCTCTCTCTCAAATATTTATCTGTTCTCTGTGTTGGGAAAATTGCAATTCTATTCAGCTATTTTGAAATATTAATAAATTATCATTAACTACAGTTTTCCTACTGTACTATTAAATAGTAAAACTTATTCCTTCTATCCATATGTATTTTTGTACCCATTAATTTACTTCTCTTAATCCTCCAACTTCTTTGCCAGCCTCTGGTAATCACTGTTCTATTCTCTACCTCTATGAAATCTAGTTTTTTAGTTCCCACATATGAGTGAAAACAGTCAATATTTATCTTTCTATGCTCCGATTGTTTCACTTAATGTTATGACCACCAGTTCCATTCACATTGCTGCAAATGACAAGATATAATCCTTTTTTGAATTACATTCCATTATGTATGTATTTTTTTAAATAATATTCCATTTTGTATCCATTTATCTATTGATTCACACTTAGGTTGATTATATATCTTGACTATTGTGAATGATGCTGCAGTAAGCATGGGAGTGCAGATATCTCTTTAATGTACTGATTTCCTTTCCTTTGGATATATGCTCAGTGGTGGGATTGCTGGATCACATGGCAGTTCTCTTTTTAATTTTTTGAATAACTTCTGTACTGTATTTCATAATAGCTGTACTACTTTACATCCTCACCAACAATATATGAGTGTTCCTTTTTTTAATACATCTTCACCACTGTATTTTATTTTTTATCTTGTTGATAATAGCCATTTTATTTGGGGTGAGATGATATCTCATTGTGGTTTTGATTTACATTTTTTGATGATTAATGATGTTGACAATTTTTTCATATACGTATTGTCCCTTTGTATGTCTTCTTTTGAGAAATATTTATTCAGGTCTTTTTCCCATTCTTTTTAAATTATTTTTTTTTGCTGTTGAGTTGTTTGCATTCCTTATATATTCTGTTTATTAATCCCTTGTAGGATGGATGGTCTACAAATATTCTCTCCCATTCTGGAGGCTGGCTCTTCATTTTGTTAGTGGTTTTCATTGCTGAGCCTAAGATTTTTAGCTTGTCGTAATCCCATTAGAATAGTCTCTGAAACTAACATGAACAACATTAAATGGGAAGTGTAGTTATGATTGGACAAAAGTATTGCATATATGACAAAACAGAAAATTAAAGCCACTGTTTAGGACTGCATGCAGGCTCTTCACAATATCTTCACCCACATTGGACCACTCTTTGACCTATACCTGGAATGGAGCTTGCACATTTTAAGTAGCACCATGAAACCCTTGGTCAGGATGGGTAGTACTCCATTCCTCACATATAACTGTCTTGAAGGTTATACCTACTCTTAGACTAACAGTGTACTGTGGTCACTATTTGCAGAGCTATGATATAGAGCAATATATTACTGAAACAATAAACTAGGGTTAAAAATTTAAATCTAAAGAAAAACAAGAAAGCAAGAGAGAAAGAGAGGGAGGGAAGAAGGGATGAAGGAAGGAAAGAAGAAAGGAAGGAAGGAAGGAAGGAAGGGAGGAAGGAAGATATTGTAATGTACCAAAATATCTGACTTTACTGATGAGAAGGGGAAAGGCTCAATAAATATTGAACACCTGTTTAGATCTAGATACAATATACTAGGTGATTTACTTCCATAATCTTACAGATTGTTTTAACAACTGTGGTAGGATACTGTTGCCATCTGAGTTTTGGAGGTAAACAATCAATGTCCAGGAAAAAAAGGAATAATTATCTTTCCTAAACTCACAGAACATGTAGGGAACTGGAATTCAATCCCAAGTGTATCTGGCTAAAAAGTCTCTAATCTTATTCTTTTGAGTCAACAGACTTGGCTTAAATACTAGCTCTGCTACTTAATAGTTATATGATTTTAGTTTGGTTAATAGCAGTGCCACTCCCTCATCTGTAAATAAGAGGTGACACATAGTTCCTGTTTCAAAAAGTTCATTATCCTCAAAACAAATGAGATAATGCATCAAATATCAGAATCTCTAGAGTAGGGCCCAAGCATCTGCCGTTTTAAAAGCTATACAAGTGATTCTAACTTACAACTAGGTTATTCTAATATATAAAACATGGTTATAATGTGAATGAAGTGCTTAACTCAGAATGTGGTACATAGCTTGTGCTCAGAAATTATTACTATTATTGTTGTGGTTGCCATTATCTTATAGATGCCACATCTTGTTATTCATTTTGAGTAAAAACTAATGAATAAGTTTAAAATATGGAAATTCAGGCTTTCCTGCACTTCCTGCTACCATCTACTTTTGATTCTCTCCACCACAGCAATGCTGCTAAATGGCTGGAAAACATAAAACATACTTGAGCAGGGAATGGTAAGAAATGACATTAATTTTTCCATGTAATATTATAGAGAAGGTATAATTTTATGGTTAAAACACCTACAGTTTAAGTCCTACCTCTACCAGTAGTTTGGGGATTTTTGGGGGGCAAGCTACTTTGCTTAAGTGCCAATTTCCTCACATCTAAAATCAGGCTAAAATAAGCAACTTTTATTTATAAATGGAGTAGACAAATAATATAGGATATTTAAAATATCTGGGAAATTTCCTAGGCACAAAATAGGATGTTAATGATCAGTAGATGTTTCTCTTTATTTCTCACTTTTTTATTCTAGCCTCACATATTTGCATCATTTCTTTATTAGCTTGCTCTCTGTATTAATCAATGATCCAGATCCTGAAAGTGCACTACAGCTTCCAGATTCACTGGAAGTGGATCTGACAACTGGGATCTCAGAAAAAAGGGGGGATTATGTTCTATAAGGTTCAAAGGCCATTTGTCCCTTTAAAATTGATTTTCTTTAATCAGATACTAGCCAAGACCCTAAGAGAAGTAATTTAATTGACAAAAGGCAGGTCTAGGTTATTAATAATGGAACAGCCTTGGACATTCTTGATGACTTAATGATAAAAGGAACGTCTGAAATCAAAATGCCTAGAGATGGGGTAAATGGCAGGGTCTCTGAGGAGAAAGGAAAACACAAGTTATCCCTAAAAGCTTATTTCATGGGACAAAGCATTTTAGTATAGTCCCAAACATGAGGCTAGAGGAAATAGTTTTGATCTTCTCTTTTTAACAAAACAAAATTTTAAATACTTAAATAATTACCATTAAATTTATTTTTTGCTTTTGGTAAACAGACTTGTTTAGGGTTATGGAATTTTGGAATCCTAGTGATTATCTTAAGAGTAAAAATCATATACATCTTGTCTGTTTATCCCCTGATTCAAATATCAAATCTGTCATCTACTAGCATGACTTCAATCAAGTTAGGTAACCTCTTTGAGCCACAGTTTCTACATTTATTAAATGAAGATGTAAATATTTATTTTTTATAGTTGTAGGAGAATATTTCTGATGTTTAAAAAAGTATATAAAATGACTGGCATTTGATACTGTATAATACCTCACACAATAAATATTTGTTGAATAAAATAATACGTGAATTTCGATGCTTTTGTTTATTTTACTGTCCCTGGATAGAAAGGCTAACCTGTGGTAACCTCTTGAAATCTTTTCTTCTCTCCAGCTATACCGACTGCTCTACCTCTAGCTCTCATCTTCTCCACTTTGAACTATTTCAATGGTTTAAAGTGGCTTTTAATCACATTTCTCTTCTCTTTCATAATCTTCCCTCTTTTCTTATGACAAAGTTGTTTGCTAAAAGAAAGATCTGATCTTAACTATACTATCCTCTTGGAAAGGCATCTAGAATGCCATAATCACTCATTTTAAAGATAAGGCCCAGAGTGTGGAGAGATTTACCCAAGTACCTATGGCACTATAAACATATGCTGAGATTAGAGTTGAGCCTAGTACCCCGACCTCTAGTAGAAAATAACAAAGAGGGTGCGAAAGAGGATATATAGTTCCTCCAGTGCTAGTCAAAGGGATTTCAAGTAGTTGTGGAATTTTTTCATTGCAATTTTGTTCTTAGTTACTATTTTTAGTGTTTTTGAACTTTAAATGTACTACTCTTACCCTGATGATAATATTATTTATTTCTATGTAAATTCTACATCAGCCAAGAGAAAGCGTATGATTAATAATAACTAAAACTTATATGGCATTCATTATGTACCAAGTATGGTTCCAAATACTGTATGTATATTAATTTAATTCTCATCAGAGCCCTGTGAAATAGGTATTGTTATTATTCCCATTTTTCAGATCAGGCCACTGAAAAGATGTTCCGTAGCTTGGCAAGGTTACACAATTCAAAAGCAGTAGAGTTGGTACTAAAGCTCAAGTTTCCAGGTTCTAGAGCTAATGCTTAACTGCTATGCTTAGCAAACACATTACATTCTCATGAACACTTTATTCTCAATCTACAGTTGGCTGCTAGTCCATATGGCTTCCTTTAACCCTGTTTATTATTTCCTGTCTTAATTATCAGGAAGTAGCATTTGCATAGAATAGTTTTAAGATGAACTTCTCCCTCTTTCTTTTTCAGAGGGTCATTTTCAACATTGTTAACTTCAGTAAAACCAAGAGTCTCTACAGAGATGGGATGGCCCCTATGGTGAAGTCTACCAGTAGACCAAAATGGTAAGTGATCTACAGTATAGAACCCCTTCCTGGTTAGAAAATTTGACCCAGTTCCCATAAATATATACACCTACTAGTGTACCCAAAGAAAATTAAAAATAATTTTTTAAAAGAAAATTTGACCCAGAGCTCAAGTTTATCTTCTGTATGGCTGGGAGTCAGACTTTCTGTCACTGGAGAAGAATGAAGATGAGTTTCTGTATGGCCATTGTTTGGGTACTGTTCTTGAGAATGTTGGAAATATGGTCCTGTGCTTGAATGACCAGCATTGAATTATGAGAAAAGGCAGTCTGTTATTTGGTAAGCTTCCTGTCCTGTTTGGCTTTTAACATGGGATCTTTGGAAACATAATTAAAATTGGTTCTTTTTTTTCCTAGCATAAGCATAGATTATGTACAGTAACCTAGGAAGACATTAGGGACTACAGTTCCGTAGCTTTCTCTTGCTTTGCATAGTTTTTGTGGATTTTAAAGTTCTATTTGTACCATTGCTACAGTGAGGAAAAGGGGAGTTGGATAGGACTGGTTAATAGCTGTAGTAATGATGGTAATATTAACATTAATAATACTAGTAATAAAACTACTCCATTTACTGAAAACCTGTCTGTGTCAAATGCTTTATATTTGTTGTTACCATTTCTACAATTTTGCAAAGGAAATTTAAAATATCCCTATGTTACAGATAAAAAAAATTGAGGCTAGGAAAAGTTAAGTACTTTATGAAGACCTTGAAGAGTAAGGGAATGTCCTGTGTTATTTATGCTACCCTATAATACCTTTTCAGCCAATTCATTCATTCATTTATTCATTCAACAAGCATTGATTGAGTGTGATAAAATGAGAGCTTTCAAAGACAAAAGCCTAGTATTACTAATCTATTCATCTATCACACAGTAGGTGTTAAGCAAATACCCATTAAAATGAACTGAATTTGTTATGAGAATTTACATGTAAAGTGCGTGACACTTACTAAGTGCTCAATAAATGGCATCTATTATTAATAGTATGATATAAAATCCTATACAAATGCAAGGAATTGTTAATATTGTTCTAGTTTGATCTCTGTTCAAATATTAATGACTAGTGAGAAGATAGCCTCTGAATGTCTGTATTTATAGAAAACAAGCAGTTCATAAATACTGAATTGTGCTTTTATCTCCAAATGATACTTGGCAATTTTCTATAAATGTTGGGCTGAGAAGCTAAGGTTTATAAAAGTGTAGGCATTTGATGACAATAATGAAAACTGTTTATTAAAGGTAAAAATATCTCCTTGGGCATTTTTTTTTTTTTTTTGCTTTCCTATATCAGATCAACTAATCTGCTGCTCCTTCTCTCACTCTTTCTGGGTAAGCGATAGGTGTTTGCTTTGAGTCTCTGATTCCAGCCCAAGTAGATAATAACAGAAATCGTTTCTTTGTTAATAGGCATGTGTATAGATGAGTACTTTAAACCTTACAAGTAAAAGGACATGACTGTTGGTCTGCTCATGAGGGCCTTAGAAATGACATTGTATATCTTTTTCCATATTCTGTGTTGAGATCTTATACAGCAACAATAATCACCATCCGTTTTTCCCAAGTATTAAGTTCTGGAGTCCTTTTTTGTGTTTTTGAAGATGCATAAGTCTTAATTATTTCACTGCTTCTTTTTTACTCATGAACTATGTTATGTCTTCTCTGTTATGGCATGTCTTCTCTGTTATGGCTCTTGACAAGATTTTGAAATATTAATGCATCCTTGCATTTGGATTTTGATGCTTTAGAATTAAGTCGGTGCTCTTATGCAATGTTGACAGGCACTCAGCGGCAGCCATTATCCAGTCATTGGACTCCTCTAGTGGTTTGAAAGAGCCTCAAGTTTCAGAATTGAGTTTGTGGTAGTTTATTAAGCCACTTAGGCATAAGGTACCGTAACATATTACATTGTTTGTATATGTAATATGTCATTGTTTATATATGTAACATCTCCTATTTTTTACCTTGCCATCCCCAGAACTTAGATACAAAGCTGCTTATGTTGCTTCAGAGTTTTCCTTTCCTCAAGTGAGATGTTTAGACATTTTTTTTACTTCATAGGACTTTATTCAGCACCATCATGTGCTATGCACTGTTCTAGGTATTGGGATATAGAGAACACAGTGCTAAGAATCATTAGCATATAAAGTATGCAGTGGGATTAGAGAAGAGGAAGAAAATTATACTATTAAGGCCATGAAGAGAAAAGGAGACACTCTAAGGAGCAGGTGATATTTCAGCTATATCTCAAGGAATGGAAAGTGGATAAAATTAAGGAAATGGGATTCTGGGTGGAAGAAATAACATGATGAGCCATGCTACCTGTTTCCTGAGCCTCTGTTTTTTTACTGTAAAAAGTGCACAATAGTATTTCCTCCCAGCATTGTTATATGAAATGAATGTGAAATGAATGTGTTAATATTTTTAAAGTCTTAAGTGTGTTATTATTCAAACAATTTCCTATTTTTTTCTTTTTTTGTAGTTCCCCAAGACTGATTATTATTTCTTCTTTTTCTCCCTCCTCCCTTTCTCCCTTTCTTCTCCTTATCAATAAATGCTTACTGAGTAGTTAAAATGAACCAGGAACTGCGCAAAGCATTAAAACATAACAATGACAACAGACATATGTTTAACGTCCTCATAGCCTACAGTCTACTATGCTAAACATTAAATATGTAACTCTAGTAAAGTATGATAACTGTTATAATGAGAAATTCATATACACCAAGGATAAGATACCTTCCTTGGGAAGTATTGTTTATGCTGAGAGCTAAAACAGAATGTGTTTGAAGGCCAAAAAATGAGAGAGGACACTTTATCTTTGATGAGAAAAGGCCAACATTAGTGAAGCATTAAATTCTGAGGAGAAAGTGATTGGAGAAGTGATTGAGGTGAGCCTTATAAATCAAGCTGAAGAGTTGGACTTGATTCTAATGACAATGGAAATAAATTAAAAGGATTAAATGGGGGCAAGACATAATCAGATTGGCAGCTTGGAAAGATCAGTCTTGCTGCTGAATGGGGAATATTTTGGAGAGGAGGAAAATTATTTGGATGTTTTTGCAATATAACTTAGGCTACAGCTAATGATGGATTGGGTGGTAACTAATCATAAAGGAAGTGGATGGTTTTGAGGATTAACAGAAGATTGAATCAATTTAACTTTGTGATTGACTAGATGTAGAGAGTAAAAGAGAGGGAGGAGTCCTGGATGATTCCTAGATTTTCTGGCATGAGCAACAGAAGGGATGATGTCGTTTACTGATGATAGAGACCATGGGAGGAGAGACAGTTTAGGAAGATTTGCCTGAAAAAGTCATACGTTTGCCTGAAAAAGCTAAAAAATTCATACGTTTAAAATTAAATTTTATCCCCTGTTCCACACATGCCTATTCTCTTTTTCTGTCTTATTTTTCATATTGCACTTATTACCATCCAACAAACTATAATATATTACTTATTTTATTTTCTGTCCCCCCTCTATTGCAAAGTAAGCACAATAGGTATCAGGATTTTTGTCATTTGTGTACACTTCTATACTTCTAGCATCTAGAACTGTGCCTGGTACATAACAGGTATTCAATAAATATTTAGTTATAATTAATTAATTAATTCAATTTCCACCACTAAACCTAATGATTATTTTTAATTTTACATTTTCCTTTTTATTTTTTTCTTACATTTTAACACAGAAGCAATTAAATTTATATACTCATTTGTATGCTGATGTTTTCATTTTACATTGTATCAAAATTTTTTGAGATATTTTTCTCTAAGTGTTAATCATACCATATTTGAATAATAATTATTTTTACTTTTTTAATGTATCATTTCCTGTATCATATTTCTATTTCTGGGCATTTGGATTTTCCATATTTTTCTAAAGTATAATAAATAATAAATACCAGATAGGTTTTAGGTTTGTTAAATTATTTTTTACAAGCAGCGTCTAAGAGATAGACTGTAGGGTAAATGTCTATAAACTCTTGTTATATATGTTCTCTAAAAATGTACCAATTTAAAATGCTGCCATTGGTCTGCCACTACATCAGTTTTAGTGCAATTTGGACAGCATTAAAAATTGGCATTGAAAAGAAATGGTTACTTTAGGAGCTATAAAATGATCTTTGTGGTTGTTTCGTTTAAATTTTGTATATGGTTCTGGGACGTGATGGATTAGACGCACTTCTCTCTATTTCTAGAGTGCAGCTAAAACTATACACAGCATTTATGAGACAAATATGGAAATCTCTGAAAGGTGGAGAGAAGAGGGAAGACTATTTCGGTTCCTCAGTGTTATAATGGAGAGAGCATAGAAAGTCAACACCAAGACAAAAGTATGCCAAATTGCAGGGTCTTTATTGCCGGCGGCCACGGAGGACTCGTGTGTCTCCAACCCGTGGCCCCGAAAGGAGGGTGTCAGGACCTTTTATACCCGTAAAACCACCTCAGGAGTGAGGGTGAGGAGTGGGGGTCGGGGTGAGGGGCTCCAGACATTCCGAGGGCTAGTGGATTCTGTAAATAACCTCCTGGGCGGAGATGAGAGTGAGGGACTCGGGACATTCCAGTGGATTCCTGGGCAAAGATGAGGGTGAGGGGCTCCGGACATTCCAAGGGCCAGGGGACTTTTGACGTTCTGATTGTTACTTAAGTGATTCACAAAAGTCAAGATAAGCATTTGTTTACACATTGTCTGGTTAGTGTAGAAATTACAGTCCTTAATCACTTATTACAAGTCGCAGGGGCCAAGATGGCATGGGTTTGGACTGCTTGCCTGTCACATTTGAGTTACAGAGAGCAGTTTCAACAGAAAGCCGAGGTATGGTTGAGGTATGCAGGTTTATGGGGCTTTTTACCATGTTACATCAGGACCTAAGAAATGGTATCATGTGAGTTCTGTGGGTTTCCTTTTTGCTACATGTATGACAAAATAGTTGCTAAAGAAGCTGGCAACCTGAAAATGCCACAGGTACAGACAAATAAAAGATGCGCCCCAAAATATTTTCATACTAAATAAAGGACGAGAAAAGGGACAGGCTAGCATGGTAGATTATTGTGAGACAGTGATCACCTACTCCAGCCAAACACAAAGGGGGGAAAAAAAACCCTGCATCCACATTTCTACTTTCACCAGCAAAGGGCTGGTGGGTAGCACAGACTTTTTTCTTTGCTGCCCCCACCCCCTAATAGGTGGTGTCAGAAAGAAGTAAGAAACAGGACTTTAATTCTGCTGGGTAGTAATGAATTCCCTCCTTCCTCTTCATGGTGTCAGATTACATGGGGAATGTGACCTTCCACCACCCACTTAAGGATGGGCTCAATAGTTGAATACAGAAGACAGAGAAGAGAATAAATGAATGTGAACATGGAACAATAGAAGTTACCCATTGTAAACAAAAAAGAAAAGAATAGACTTAAAAGAAAAATGAACAGAGCCTCAGGGACCTATGAGACACTAACAAAAGATTATAGCATTTATGCCATTGGAGTTTCAGAAAGATAGGAGAGAGTGAGACTGAAAATATATGTTTAAAATGAAAGAAATCATCCCAAATTTTGCAAAACAAATAAACCTACAAATTCATGAAACCAGGTGAACCTCAAACAGAAAATCCATGCCAAGAAATGTTATAATCAAATATGTGAAAATTAAAGACAAAGAAAGAATCTTGAAAACAG